TGTCGATTTTTAATCTAAGAGCTGTAGAACCTCCTCTTCATGCATGTGAATGTCTGGTGCTGATTCTATTAGCATAATGTATTGGTATGTAAATTTAACACTGACTGCAAAACACGTGTGTTGATCCATTTGCATAATACATGTAGAAAAATAAAACCATTGAGGATTCTCAGAAAAATTTCAACAAAAATAAGTACATACATGTACTGCAATTTTAAATATGTGCATGTATTGCATGCATGTAATTATACATGTATAATTATGTAATTTGTAATTATATGTACATACTTTTATAATAATCTGTCCAGTAGTTCAAATCCATATGTTACATTGGAGTCAGAATCACAAGGCCACTGTAAATGAATGAATTAATAAACAAAATAATTAACTTTACATGTAAATTAGAGATGGTCAAATCCAGAAATTTGCTTTTGATTCCGATTCCAAATACTTTTGAGACTGGAATCGATGGAATCAAATACCGATTCTGAGTACTACATCTGCACATGCATAAAGCCAAAAAAATGAAAAAATGTTTCAAATGATTCTCACTTCTTTTTTGATACAAATACAATTCCATTCGGAATGAAGAATCAAATACTCCGGACTCGGAATTGTGCATCACTAATGTAAATATAGCTACTGTGCATATTAGGATGAGAATAGCTCAAAACCTTTTAATCAGAATCATTTTGAATTTTCTACATAGCAGAAGGACATAAATACATATCAGAAACTGCAATAAAAGTTTTGGGTGATTTTGGAGCCATTTTTGGAAAAAGTATGGGCTGTATTTTCAGAAATTGGCCAATTTTAAAAATGGCCATAACTCAAAAACTTTTAGTTAGCAAAATTTCTACGCAGCATAAGAACATCAATACGTATAAAAGGTGTAATATAAATTAGGGGTAATTTTGGAGCCATTTTTGATGGGCTATAGGGTACTCTTCATTTCAGTTGGTATGGTACGAAGAGATCAATCAGAAACCATCTCTCAAGTAAAGGAATACCAACCTTATATATCTCAGAAATGGACAAACAACTTAGTACATGCATAAATTGTATATGTATGTACTAAAGGTAAAGAGACTCTCTTTACCTTTAGTATGTACATATACAATTTATGCATGTAAGAGCTAGACTTTTGTTAATTCATCATTATTGTAGTCTTTTAGTAATGGATCCATTACCTGACATATTTACTAGTATGAGTGTCTGTTTCTATGGAATTGATGAGAGTATTAGACTCACTCAATCCTGTTATATAATAACATATCCTAATTCTACACTTAATGTTACATTAATAATGATGTATATATTTCTTACTTAACTTATCCTTACTTATAATGGTGATGTAGAGGAGGCCCCCACTGATAAAACAACACACATTATTGTTCCTGGCTTGGAGGGAAGCAAGTTGCCTTGGAATACACACAAGGCCACAGTAGTCTCATTGAAATGGTTGGAAGACAGTTTACATGAAGGACATCTTTTACAAACTGAGAAATACATCGTTTAATATTATTCAGTATTTTTAAATTGTGTGAATAAAATAATTGTGGCTATAAAAATATGGAATGTTTCAAATTTACTCACTTATAAAGAAATTTGTAGTTGTTGTGTGGCTTGCCAATTCCTTGTGTTTACATATCCGTGATAATCTTCCTAAGACATATAGATCTAGACTTTTCACTTTTACTTTTATATTTTCAAATGGCCTCAAAAGGACATCTTCCATTAGGTGAGTATAATACCCTGCTGTTACTATATTTGAGTTTTGTGTACAGATATTAGCAAGTTAAACTTTGTTTTGAAAGTCTTGAGGCATTATAAATTTCCTGAAGCAAGATGGTTTGAATTTGGGTTAAATTTTGGTCTATCTTATCATACACTGAAAGCAATTGAGTCAGCTAATAAAGGAGATCCTTCAAATTGCCTGATGGAGTGTTTAGCCAAGTGGTTGACTGAAGGCTCTGATCGTACTCTTGTATGGCAGACACTGGCTAATGCACTACGAGAAATGAATGTGTTATCTGTTTCTAATAATATTCGCAAAACAAGTAATAATGTTATTATCGTTATATACTTTGTTTATATTTTTATTAGTGGCAGATCCTGTTAGTGAGATATTACAGTGTTATATTGGTAGACTAGCTCAAGTTGTTCTTACTGAGGAATCAGTTGATCTCTTACATACAGAGGGATTGATATCTAAGGATACATTAACAGAAGTGAAGAGTTGTGGTTGTTCATTGGTTGGAGATCCAATGTTACTAATATTAAGTGCTGTAGCTGAAGATCATAGCAAGTTATGTACTCTGACAAGCATTCTAATGAAATCAAAGGAAGCTATGTCTTTAGCTAGTGATATAATAATGGAATATGGTAAATGCATGAACATTAAAAAAATACAACTTATTTGTATTTTAATACAAAAGGAAAGTCATTTCCTTTAGACAGCAACAGTGATGCCATCTTGTCAACAAGCAAGT